TATTAGATGATACTGGTGCATCCATATTGCGTTTCGAATTTCTAAAAGCTCGATTGTGTGTGTAACATGACGCTAGCGCCTCGGGTAAGTATATGCGTCTATCTTTATGCGCTGTCATAGTGGCCAACTGCCACATAAGTGTAGCGCGGCGCAACGGCCCTTAACTTTCTGTCGCCACGCGCGGACCGGGAGCGCCACTCCCGTCCCTGTGCGACCATATTGCTTTGACGAGGCTCACATTCCATCGTTTCGGCCGAACTTCTCATTTGCGCAGGGAGGCGCCGGTGCGGCAGCCTTTAGCGGCCGGTGTGTACAGCAGCTAATGCAAGCGAAAATCGTTCAACTAAGCATCATTGACAAGCAACGATTACCAATGGGGGGGGCCGGCAATAAAAGTCATAAGCGTGTTTACATTGCTTAAAGCGCATGCATTCATTTCGCCTCGAGGCCATCTTGCTATATTAGGTTAACCAGATTCACGAATGGCGGCTTATTGACGGCGAAAATAAATACTGCCCACCGAGATTTTAATTTCTAACCAAACAACTTTGCAACGAACCCATGTATAGGTTAGCCAGTCTCAACCAGAAACGATAGGCAGATCGGTTTACTACACAGCTGAGATACGCTATAACGAGCGTCACTATGGCTGCAGCTCAATCCTCAATAGATAGAAAAACTTCTCCCTATATGGTCAGTGTCACCTCTGGGCTACTTGTGATTGTTAAAAGCTCAAAATGACGTTTACCCAGTTCCAGCGAGCGGTGAACAAAAAGTAAACATCGGAAGAACAGCGACTGCGAACGGAGATTCATGTATGCCCTGCTTGAAGACGGGTCATCTTTAACCACTGATGCTCTCTGCATCATTAGGATACGTCGCTCGTTTTCCCAAATGACGACAGTAACAACATGCAATTTTAGTTAGCCGCCTTAATGCCGAGGACACACGTGTTAGCCAAACTCAAGTTTTAATTAATAACTTAGGAATTCAACTACTGTAATATGTTAATCCGCGACCAATACAGTCATTCCACCCACGTCACCTGTCTACAAATCGTTGAACTTTGATGTAAAACTGCACCGATGGCAATTATAATAGGGCCTACGTTGCTGATGCCAATCACACGATGTGTGAGTAGGATTTCTGACAGGCTCCGCCGTTTACTATTTCGACGCTGGTAAATCCGCGCATGTTTAAATGAAAAATGTTAGGCCGCGAGCGATCGCGATCCTCTTTAGCTTCTAAGTGTTGTGTGTTTTTCTACTGGCGTTCGTACGCGGCTTGCATTCAGCCGCGGGTGATGCCGGCGCGGAGTACGGCTGTAGATTAGGACTGGTGGACGTGAGCGCGAGCAAGCGCGCGCCAAGCTGCGAATATATAGCCCCGCAGAGTTGACTTGCTGTCGCGACCGAAGCGAGAGTTGAGTGCAATGCTTGTGTTGGATACACAGGGTACTGTACCGTGACACTGTAAAACTGAGCGGGAATTCTCGTTGTCTGGTTTAGGGACATTTACCGTCTTCGCTCACGTGCGGTTCAATTATCACGTCATGAGAGCAATTTTGGTTCGTTGACATTTAGCTAATGTTGAGTATCGCAGAGGTAGAATTTGGAGTAGGGGAATTCTGTCGACCAAGTAAATCGTTGTTGCTTTATTGCGTGGTTAGGATAACATCGTCCTCGAAAGAGCGTTGATAAGGAATGAACTGTGTCGAACTGAACAAGAAACAGATTACTTGATTACGTACATTACGAGATTATGCCTCTAGGATTAGTATATAGTGATAGTCGACGACTCTAGCCTACTACCAAACATACGGCAGCCTGCAATACAGACGAGGCAGCCTGTAGTTACAGACGGGGCAGCCGTGTAGTAACAGACGGGCG